ATGCCCTCGGTGCCAGAGGAGCTGTCACAGCGAGATGATACAGAACCTAGAGTCCTCTAGAATTCCCAAAACTTGTATATCTCGGATTTCTCCTAGAGGTCACATGAGGTCAGGCCGATCGCGTGACGTCACCATTACAAGTCAATGGGGAAAATATGGAAACTGTAGTTTTGACGCCGAGAATGATCTAAACCTAGCTCAAGCACATGGAATCGCATTTTCATGCACTTCTTGCAATGTTCAATCCTCACTTTTGCATCTTTAACCTAGCGTGACGTCATTTATGACGTCAAAAAGGTCACAAGTTTTTTCGTCAATAGCTCCTGATAAAATTGAACTGGCAAGTCGGAAAAGTCGCCAATGGACTCGGGAAGACCTACCGAATCGAATGATATACGATATAACCTCCTCCGACCAACTTCGTGACCTGAAGTGCCTCTGACCTGACTTTGACACGATGTGAACACCTTATGTTGACCCCACCCAAACAAAAGTGTAGGTACCATTTGACGCACCTGAGCATGACAAACATGATGGTACTAAAATCGCGACGCTGCGCCGTTTTTTTTTTTTTTTTTGGCAGTTATTGCTCAAAACCCGAAATCGTATTTTGGCCCTCGGGGCACTTGACCTGACCCTCAGAGGCCACCAGTTGACCTGAGGCTTTTAAACCGTGCATCAATCGCTGCGTCCCTGGTCCCGTAACGGCACACATGCTCGTTTTTCCCGCGAGGCTAGCTCAATTCAAATTAGGGCGAGGGAGTCGTACCCGCCCTCTCTCGCGGCGTAGGTATGTAAAAAACTAATAAGTCTGGTGATGGTTGATGCAAGATTCTTACAGATAATGGTTGATGACGGTAGGGTATAAGTTATTAAAGATAAGTGAAACAAAGTTGCAGCCCTCAGTAGCCTTGATTTATGTTATGTGAGTTATAAAACAACTGTAAGCTGCAGGCTCAGCTCTTCAGTTTCTATCTATGCCTGCAAACACAATAAAATCAATGGAAGAGTACCTAATAATAGTTTTATTGTATTTTATTGATGCTTTTCTAGTTTCAATGGTAACTATGTCACAGATGATTCAATGTCATTTGCATGGTATCATTTACCACCACACGTCTAAATATTAAGTATATAAAATAATGCAGTAAAATAAGCTGCGCCACATCTGTCGACAAAATCTGGTGCCAACTCAAGGTCAAACGGAAAATGTGGTCACGTGACCAATGTCCGGCAGCTGAGAAGTACTGGGTTGGAAACAGGATTCCGGTGGTTGCAGTAAGAGGCCGAAAACAGAACCGAATATTTCGTGCCCATATTTCGATATCTCCTCTCACAGGCAACAAAAAAATATTGGTTTATGTGAATGAAACTTATAAAGAAGCAATCGACTAGCCGTGCTCGTGTTTATTGCTGCATTTTTGAATAATGGCAACTTATTTACTAAACGTTGCTGGTTACACTTTCCTCACCGTTGTGAGGGAACGTATGCCACTGATTTGATTATAATGATTTCTCACTCTCATCCACAAAGAGTACTTGTACATACATGGGAGTTTGATCTCTTTATTTACATGCTAATCGATACCAGTCCTGTCACAACGAACCATCCAAACTTCACGATTCAAACCAACGTCACAAAACACCCCTTCAAGTGTCACTTTGCTTCGCCTGCCCTCCCAATTTCATCAGCGACCTTACTTCCCCGCCTTACATCTTCTTGACCCTGCTGAGCTTTGGCCTCTTGTCGCTCCTCGATCGGGTTGCACCAGTGGCTGGGGTGTCTGCTTCCTGACTTTCGATGGACAGCACTGTCTTGAGTGTCTGTCTCACTTATCAGTTACCATGTTTCCACACTTTCCAGCAAATAGATTGAAAACCGTCGCATACATCTCTGGAAGGAGGCTCCTAAGGACGTCGTGGCTGGCTATCATTGCAAACGACTTCCGGTCACTTCGACATCTCGGTTTACGACTATCTTCGTCACTTCTGCGTCACTTCTTGGTTGATCGCAGACCAGCAGCTGGTTCCTGTTAGCTTCCGTCTTCGGCAGTTGCCTCCAAATCTGGCAGATCCTCACGGTGAGGTCGATGTCTTCCTCGTCTTTCTCCAGTCGTGCCTCCAGCGGCGTAGCCCCATGATAGATCAGCAGGCTGGCGGAGGCAGGGCGGAGGCACCGTACTTGTTACGCCTGGTGGCCGAGCGCAGAGCCGAGCGTGCCAAGGCGCCGGAGCTGTGTCCCAGGGAGGCCTTGGCGCTGTCATCCAGGTCCTCCATTTCAGTGGATGTCGCCACCGCGGCCACTAGCTCCTGGATGACAAGAGCACCATCCTGCTGTCACTTCTGCTGTGATGGTGCCATTCGGGCGGAGGCGTCGGCGGGGCTGAAACGTGACCAGTGACCCGGAGTACCGCCTCATTCTCCAGGAACTGTCGGACACTCAACCAGTTGTAGTTGCCACCTGATAGCTGATATTGTCATTCGTGAAGAACGCATCGGTCTGGCCCTTCATAACCTGCTTCTGGTGTGAGTGGCGTGCGGATGCCATGGCTAGTTTCGCTGGCCGCTCGTGCACAGGGGCCAGGGGGCATCGCGTAATCCACGCTGGTCAATACTGACAGGGCTGCGCCGCTCTCGAGCCGACGGCGCTGTCTGTGCATGCCGGTGCGAAATGACCGATCTTCTTCGAAATATTCCTTTCTGAAATGCAGCTCACACACAGCGGAATAGTCCTGATCCCACTAAGCCCGGTCACGGTGACCCATGGCGCCAACCCACTGAGCGCGTAGAGATGTTCGGTGAGAAAAGCGAATAGGTGGCATGTGAGACATCTCCTGTTCTAATCTTTTGTTCCTCTTGGTTCGTTGGGTTGTAGCCAGAACGGCAGGTTTTTACCGCTCATTCCCCTCCTCCATTGTTGATGTACCTATACGTATGTAAGGCTTTGCACCACAATTTCTTTCAAAAGAAAACACCACGCATTGTGCCCTCTAAATGATCAAATTAAAAGTGAAATACTTTAATTTTTTAAGCAAATGAAAGTAACTTCGGTAGCTTCGATTTTAAATGTAAACGACAAAACACAAAAAAGACGATTTCTTGCAATACACAACACACAAATTATCCACCCAGCAGCACGCGAGAATCTCATTTTGGCGCCGCCGCATAAAAGCATTCGGCCTCTTACTGCAACTGCCAATATTCTGTTTCCAATCCAGTACTACTGTTATCTGTGGTCACATACATACATACGGACGTTTTGATTTTTATATATGTAACTAGAGGGACAGCATTACGCGCAGCGTAAAAAGGGGCAGCATTACGCGCAGCGTAATAAATCAATTTTCATTAAAATCGGCCCAGTAGCGGCCGAGTTATGGCCAGAATAAATGTTGCGTCTCCTCTTGGCCGGCGGTGCTCTGTTCCGGTATTCATTGCCAAAGGTCAGTGACCTTCCGGCTCTGATTTCGCTCAGTTTTGCAAGCGAAGAAACTGAGCCTAAGGCACGTGCTCATTGCTCGGCGCCGGCCGCGGCCAAAATTCCGCAAAGATGCGCCCGCCACGTGCACACCGCTGCACGCACCCCCTCGAAAAGTTGATACGACAAACAGATGCACGCGTTTGACTTGCGCCCAAAATTTCACCCCCGTAGCCCGCACCGTTCCGGAGCAATAGCCCGCCAAGCGTGACTGACGCGTTACATACATACGGACATTTTGATTTTTATCACATATATAAAAATCAAAACGTCTGTACGTATGTATGTATGTATGTATGTATGTATGTAACGCGTCAGTCACGCTTGGCGGGCTATTGCTCCGGAACGGTGCGGGCTACGGGGGTGGAATTTTGGGCGCAAGTCAGACGCGTGCATCTGTTTGTCGTATTAAATTTTGGTGGGGGTGCGCTCGGCGGTTTGCACGTGGCGGGCGCATCTTTGCGGGATTTTGGGCCGCGGCCGGCGCCGATCAGAGAGCACGCGCATTAGCCTCAGTTTCTTCGCTTGCAAAACTGAGCGGAAACAGAGCCGGAAGGTCACTGACCTTTGGCAATGAACACCGGAACAGGGCACCGCCGGCCAGGAGGAGACTCAACATTTATTCTGGCAATAACTCGGCCGCTACTGGGCCGATTTTATTGAAACTTGATTTATTACGGTGCACGTAATGCTGTCCCTCTTTACGCTGCGCGTAATGCTGTCCCTCTAGTTTACATATATAAAAATCAAAATGTCCGTATGTATGTATGTATGTATGTATGTATGTGACGCGTCAGTCACGCTTGGCGGGCTATTGCTCTGGAACGGTGCGGGCTACGGGGGTGAAATTTTCGACGTAAGTCGGACGCGTGCATCTGTTTGTTGTATTAAATTTTGGAGGGGGTGCGTGCAGCGGTGTGCACGTGGCGGGCGCATCTTTGCAGCATTTTGGGCCGCGGCCGGCGCCGATCAGAGAGCACGCGCCATAGGCTCAGTTTCTTCGCTTGCAAAACTGAGCGAAATCAGAGCCGGCAGGTCATTGACCTTTGCCAATGAATACCGGAACAGAGCACCGCCGGCCAGGAGGAGACGCCAAATTTATTCTGGCCATAACTCGGCCGCTACTGGGCCGATTTTATTGAAACTTGATTTATTACGCTGCGCGTAATGCTGGACACCTAGTATATGTAAATATGTAATTCAGGCGGTTTAGTAAATGCCGCAACTGCCCCACTATTGTACAGTGGATTTAGTAAGGATCTCCAGACGTAACTACATGGCGTTGAACCTTAGTCCAGTCCATGTCAAATTCACAATTCCTATTCAGTTTGTGATGCGAATTACCGGCCGTCGAGGGGTTAGCCAAACTAGATCCGTTTGACGTCGCTAACACGAATTTGTCTCATGTAGCCAGTGCCATAAAGACTTTTTGGGGAGCAGTATTAGCGTAATGGGTTTTTGGAACGGATCGCTCATGTAGCCCGGGTAACTGTCCGACAAGACGGCCGGGCCGGGCACATACCTTCTCTGACATCACCCGACTGGAGCGAGGGTTGACGGCTCCCTTGATGACGTCCTTTTCAAACATGGCCGTTATGCTCTGGATCTCCTTCAGCCGGATATCTGCTGCCTCCAGAACAGCTCTGCCGACACACAGCGGCTGGTTACGGCCCCCAGTCAATGATATTGGTAGCTTCAGCTCTGGTCAGTCAGAGCGTGAAGGTTTTTATTGTCCCTTCACTAGTGCTAAACCTATGGGAGAAACCGATTTCGAGGGCAAAACTAAAAGTCGATTTTTTAACTTATTAGTCGATATACGTAAAAACCGAATGTACCACACGACAGCCTTATCTTTCTTCTATCGATGCCCGCATCCATTTTGGCGATGGTACATACAAAAAACGCTGAAATATGGCGATAGGGGGAAGATGTCATCCTAAACAATATCATTCAATTACATCTTGATGGTTGCTTTCTCGAATGCTCGGAACGTACCGAGTGGTGATGAACCTGACCTCTGATTCAAGCCGAATTTTGTGATACCAGCAGCTTTTTCAGGTCAGGTCAGGTCACTGACCTTTGACGTCATAAGTGAACCTCTGCTCGTCTCCCAGCCTCAACCCAGCCTAAGGACGTCTCCCAGCCTCAACCCTGGAACTGGAGATCGGGATCGTGATTCGTGGAGGAGAGCTAAGAGGAACTCCCGCCGCGCGTTCCGGACACTCGATGGAGGAGGGAGCCGGCGCAGCCGGGGTGTCTCCCGATGACGTCACGGAGGACAGGAGTCGGCGCTCGTCGTCTTCTCTGCTAGACTGCGCCAGAGAGCCGGTACGGCAGGTGCGCCTGCTGCCGCCGCTGCAGGCCGCCTCCACCGCTGATGCTGCGGCTGTGCCGACGGGGAATGGGGTCAGCGGTGTTACTGGGACACCAGGCAGAGATCACCGACAGCCGCCGGGGGTGATGCAGTCTACTCCTAGAGACTCAGCGTGCTCTAGAGAGGCGGACAAAGACAAGGAGAGCCTGACCCCCGCCGGCGACGTGACTGGTGACCGGTCTGTCGCCACTCTATCATGTGAGTCTGGTGGCGGGGAGTCTCCAATGCAGACTGTGTCTCCGGCCACCTCCGAGGGGGCGATGGGGCTCTCGTCGCGGGGCGGTGGGTTGCAGAGGGAGGAGCGCACTCGGCGCTTTGGCGGGAACGACGGGGACCTGGGAGCGAGTGCGTCTGCTCAGGGGGGAACGAGAGCTAAGGGGCCTGCTCGGGGGCGGGGGAGTGTTAAGGTGTCGGAGCAGTCACCAGGTTCGGGTCCAGTAGAGGACCGTTTGTCTGCCGACGTGGTCCGATCGTAGCAGCCGTCTCGTGGTCCTAGTGGGGGCTCACGGGACATACGGGAGTTTTTCTGTTGAGTTATACCCTACGCAGTCTCATAGGCTCGATGTTATATGTTGTGCGAGTTATTACGCGTCGTTTGTTAGTAAGGTGTCTAAGGTACCATTGTAAGGTGTTTGTACTTGTATTGACTGGTGATCAGCAAGTGTTCTTTATGTTATTTGTGCTTGCAGGTATGTGGCATCCACGGAACGTAGCGATGCTTTGGATCCTTCCGACGAGCGACGTAGTGAACGAGCTGTATTTGATTTTTTCGTCTATGTTAATGCTTTGTTTTTCATCAGTTTCCTTTTTTATTTTGTCAAATACGCAATCAAGTCACACAAAAAGGATAGAGAATGAGTATGTGTCTAACAGTGCTTAGCGTTAACGTTAGAGGGATACGTCAGTTCAAAAAGAGACGAGACGTGTTTCAGTACATTAAGGGACTTAGCTGCGCACTGTATTGTCTTGTGGACACGCACATTACCCCAGAAATGAAGGATAGGATTCGCTCGGAGTGGGGCACTGATGTATTCATGAGTTGTGACTTGTGGATCCGGTAATTCAAGAGGCATAGTGGTATTGCCCAGCCCTGGGGCGCCGGTGATAGTTCATAGTTTTGTTTCGATGAAAAGATACCAAGTTTTATCGACAGATAGGCAATCCTAGAGCTAGAAGGGTAGTGTTAGATGTAATTGAACAAGAAAATCTTATAGATGTTTGGCGAGAGCAGCATTTAAATTTATTAAGGTATACTTGGAGAAAACAAAATCCAGCCAAGTATTCTAGACTGGATTTCTTCTTGGTGTCACCAGAACTTTTGTCACATATCACGTCATCGGATATTTCTTATGGGTATAGAACGGATCATAATGCAGTTACAATAACATTTAAGAATCCACAAGTAGATAAGAGAGGCTTATTTTGGAAGTTTAATCTGCTTAAGCTTAAGCAGATTAAACTTCCAGACTTAAGCAGACTTAAGCTGCTTAAGCTTAAGTCTGCTTAAGGATGAGAAATTTGTCAATCTTGTCAAGACGGAGATATCACACATTAAAAGGCTTTACATTTTACCCCCGTACTCTATGGAAGCAATACAAGGGGATCCAGATATTCAGTTTACAGTAAACGATCAACTCTTTTTTGAAACCTTGCTGTGTCACTTGAAAGGCATTTGTATTCAATATGCAGCCCGTAAAAAGAGGAATACAAATTTAGAAGAAAAACGCATCGTCAACAGGTTACAGAATCTAATGAATGATGCAACAGGCGACTCTAGGGTTATCGAGGAAGAAGAGAGGCTGAGGAACGAACTTTATCTGATTCGGGAGAAGAAGGTAGAAGGGATGCTTCTTCGGGCAAAAGCCAAATGGATTGAGCTCGGTGAGCGTCCAACAAGATATTTTTGTTCTCTCGAAAAGCGCCAATATGCTAGAAAGTACATAGGTAGTTTAGAGGTAAATGGGCATGAAACCCATGACCAAAATGTAATAATGATCCATTTGAAAGATTTCTTTGAGGAAGTATTTAGGTCTAAAGGGAGGCGTAAGAAGCTAGGTGATATCAGGCACCGACTGGGCGATAATTTTCCGAGACTTTCAACGGATGAGAGAATGGAGATAGAAGGAATGCTATCTGTTCAGGAGGCAAGTAGTGCGGTGGCCAAATTGCATAATGATAAGTCTCCTGGGCCTGACGGCTTTACGTCGAACTTTTTCAAGTTCTTTTGGAAAGATTTAGGAATATTCTTAGTCAGATCCCTAAACTATGGTTTCGAAAATGGTCAGTTGTCCATCTCTCAGAAACAAGGCATGATTACTTTAATCCCGAAGAGTGGAAAGCCAAAAGATAGAATAGAAAACTGGAGACCTATCTCTTTGTTAAATACGACTCAAAAAATACTATCAGCAGCGATAGCAAATTGTCTCCGTAAGGTAATGGACAAACTGATATCTGTCAATCAGAAGGGGTTTATGAAAAACAGATATATAGGGGAATGCATCCGAACAGTATACGACATTATGTGGGACGCCAAGCACGCAGGCGTTGATAAAAAGGGACTGATCATATTTGCAGATCTCAAAAGGGCGTTTGATACTCTTAATCACGTCTTTATTATTGAAACGCTGGAACTTTTAATTTTGGTCCGGAGTTGATCCGATGGATCAAGATTATGTTGACTGGAGCAAATTCATGTATAACTCAAAACAAGACTTCGACTGATTTTTTTCCGATAAGCCAAGGTTGTCGGCAGGGTGATTGTATTTCACCGCTGCTTTTCATTCTCTGCGTAGAAGTATTAGGGATTATGATACAGAATGATGCTTCCATTTCAGGATACAGGATAGGTGATGTGGAAAAAAGTTGAACAATATGCAGATGACTGTACTTTTATCTTAGATGGAACGTATAGCAGTTATACTAGTTGTGTGGAAACGGTATCCGAGTTCAGCTTGATTTCCGGTCTGTTCCTAAACATGCACAAAACACAACTTTTGTGGCTAGGGTCTTTTCAGGCTCCTGCGTTTGTAACTGATTCTTCGTTTGATGTTATTGTAGCACGCTACATCTTGACCATCTAACGTAGTATCTTTTCGGCACGGTCGGCCCGGTGACGCGCAGCTGAGCAGAGCGCTGCCGCACGCTTCCCTCCCTTGTCATTATTCCCTTCCTCCTCCCACCCGTCCCCAGGTCCACCCTCCCCAATCATTTCTCACTGTCCGCACAGAATGGGCCGCCATTAAACTCCAATTAAGACAAGCACCTCGAAGACAGTCACATCAGGATGAGTCATTGGTAGTCATTACAAAGCAGCTGAAGCTACAAGCAAACGTCGGCACACTGTGAGACCACGCGCAGGCTTAAGGCACGTAGCACATTGGGTCTCACGTAGCCATGGTAGCACAACAGTGCGTCTCACTGCAACGGAATCTGCTAAACTTAGCAAACAGTTGTCCGGAACAAACGTAGTTCAGGACGTCTCCACTGCGGACAGAAAGCGCTGTTGTCCGAAACAAACGTAGTTCAGGACGTCCCCACCGCGGACAGAAGGCGCTGTTCTACCGACCCTCCCAACCAAGATGACGTCAGTGGGCGGAGCAAGAGTGACGTCACAAGGGGCGTTGCCGGCAGACGAAACGGAAGGAAACAAAAGTTTGAATAAAATGAAATTGAAGAATCAAAATTAAAACTCGAAAAGCACCAACCTTTCGGGGATTGGTTTATGCCAGCAACTACTAAGATGATAAAGCACTCAACACGAAGACGATTCGACGGCCAAAAATTGCAGAAACAGATGAGCAAGGTGACTAAACAGGACAGAGGGCGCCATCTTACGGGCCCACCCACAAGAGGAAGGCAGAGGAAGATGACGGCGCAAGGGCGTGGCAGTCACCCCCTCCCCCCAAGCTATAAAAGGGTGCACCACCCAACCAGAGAGTGAGACAGAGTCGAGCAGCCGAGAGTCACAGTCCACAGCTGGAGCCGGAGACGCCATCTGGGAGCCACCGTCAGTCCGGGGTCACCCGCGAGAAGCCTCTTCAGTTCAAGTGATCAGAGCCGGAGGACAACCGCCGACGCTTGTGACCACACTGAGAAACTCCAGAATGTGAGTGTTGTTGAAAAGTCTGCTCAATCCCAATCCTTGAACCCCCCCCCCCCCCTCTGCCCGGTTGCCGTGCCGTGACGACTGCCAAACATTTTCGGTTGCCATAAAATGCACTCTCAATTGGAATTGGAAAACTTAAATTACTTTGAACTTATTGGTCCAGA